ATGTTTGCACATGCATCTCTAATCTCTATGTATCTGATTATTACTAGTCATTTGGTTACTCTCGGATCCTTGGCACCTGAGTATGGATATAAAATCATCAGGTAGATTTCACTGGTAATATTTATCACCTCTTCTAATTAACTTGAAGTAAATTTTTATGCTTCTTCCTCAAATATAACTCATTTTCTTTTTTGTTGATTTTTTGTGTGTGTATATCATACAAAACATCCCAAAAAATCTTATTCATCTCTATACCCACTTCCCAAATGACACCCTCCCATAGCTTCCCCCTCACCTCATCCCCATCACTGGAGCCCATATACTCTGTCATCCGTTACTATCCACTGTGTTGTTGGCACCCCCAGCTGTTCCCCAGTGCTTGTCCATCCGCTGACTCTAGTCAGCCTGTCTAGAGTTCCTTGTTTTAGGAAGATCAGCTGCGCTATAAACATGGACTCTTAAAGAAATATACCAATCACTTTAATCTTTCGTTATACAGTCTTTTTGGTTGTCTAAGACCATACAGTTGGCCCAAATAAACATATCTATCTTACTCTTAAGGCCGTTTGAGGATCTTTCCTCAGGGGTCACATGGGCTTGGGAAGAGGCCCCTGGCTCCTTTCTTTTACCAGTTCCATCTATGTGAAGAGAAGTCAATGGTCCTGCTCAACCATGGCTGGCTTCACTTGGAAGCATAGAGGAAATGTTTCTTCTGTGTTGACCCTCCTCTCTGTAAACTGATTCAAATCCATCTGGTGGGGTCTACACGACCTCCTTGATCAAGAGGACAGGTGACTCACCACAGTTACAGGACATTTTGAGAGATGCTCATAGTCCCCTGGAACTTAGTTGATCTAGGAGGGCAAGGAACAAAAACTGTCATTTATGTCCCTCTGACCAAATTAGTATAGGCCTCAAAGTATGGCTATTAAACATCCAAGAAGGTTAGTTCCACCAGTCTGGTACTTTTTTTTCTTTTGTCTTTTTGAAGCAGGTTCTCCCTGTAGCCCCAGCTGTCCTGGAACTCACTATGTAGACCAGGCTGGCCTTGAACTCACAGAGATCCACCTGCCTCTGCCTCCTAAGTGCTGGGACTACAGGCGTGCATCACCACGCCCATCTCAGTCTGGTACTTTTAACTACCACATGCCATGTAGATAAAGCTTGGGCAAAGACCAAACGTTCTCAAATAAACCTTGCCTAGACATATATTATATTCCTTGATGTAGTTGTATGTATAATTTGTCAGTAGGTTGTTGGACTAATATGGTTCCCTCTGGGCTTTTTTAAATATTTTATTTATTATTTTTATTTTATGTGTATGAGTGTATTGCCTGCATGTAGGTAAGTGTACCCATGTCGTGCAATGCCCCCAAAGGACAGAAAAGGCCATTGGATCCCCTGAAATGGGGTTACGGACAGTTATTAGCTGCCATGTGGGTGCTGGGATTCGAACCCAGGTCTTCTGCAAGAATAGCCAGTGTTCTTAAACCACTGAGCCATCTCTCCAGCCCCCCCCCCAATTTTTTAAAACTAGCTAGGCATTATTTATCTCTTGCATTGTCTAACCCTTTCACCATGGTTACCCCATTTAAGATGCCCCCATTTTTCCCATTTCTCCCTTAATAATACCCTTCTCCTATGGTCCCACCTCTCTTGAGCTCCTTCTTTCCCTTTATCCCCTAAGTTCCTTGTATAACGTGCCCCCCTCAAAAAAAACCATTTTTATCCATATCTGCCTTACTAATGCCTGTTTCCTACTGTTCTTCTCTTTCAGGTCCTTCAGGAACCAGGATAATGAAAAGGAACCAGGGAGGTAAAAAATTTATTTTTATATTATGTGTATGAGTGTTTTGCCTGCATGTATGTAAGTGCACCATGTGCATGTAATGCCTGCAGAGGCCAGAAAAGGGTTCCGATCTCCTCAAACTGGAGTTACAGACAGTTGTTAGCCATCATGTGTGTGCTGGGAATTGAACCTGGGTCTTCTGCAACAGTAGCCAATGCTTTTAACCACTGAGCCTTCTCTCCAGCCCCAAGGCAACCCTCTTG